TGAGCACTGGTATTCGAACTTTCCTAGTCACTCTAAATTGTGTTGCGGCTAAAAAAAAGTGACTTGATTGCATTACGATGGACAAGAATAAAATATAAGTTCAAATTGCACTATACGAACAAGTTATTGGTAAAGTCTCCGCACAGAGAATACATTTGCCAAAAGTTAAGACAAAGCTATGCGTGACGAAATGTCTTCACTGTTATAATTCACGCAGGCGTTTGCGTGCAAACAATACAGTGCTGTGATTAGAAACGGTTGTTTGTATTTCTTTGTAAGAGTGAAATAATTTCGTTATCACATTTTACAATGGCAGAATAACAAGTAAGTCTTTGCATAACGCTAAACAGTACAATGGATATGATTAAACGAGGAAATGAGCTCATAACAAATCGCATTCGACAAGCTCACACTGACAGACAAAATATACACAAGATTTCCTTTCAATTGTGTTCATATTCAAAACTATAACACCTTCCATTGTTTACATGAAACTGTTCGCAATTCACTAATTTTTGATCCTGGTATGTATCTAAGCCACCAATGTCTGTAAAGCCCGATGCGCGAGGCTTCCATATAAACAGCGCACGCCATCAAAAAGATTTAGGAAGTTAATTACACGTTTTAGGGAAGTGCGGAAGATATTAACTTAACGCGCGTTGCATCCGCAAGCTCATAGCGCGTAAGGAAACAAAAAACGCGCACGAAGAAAGAAAAAAATTCAAATCTTACTCCAATTTTACAACAGCAACCACTGCTTTTGTTTTCCAAAAAAAAAAAAATCAGAACTTTGCGTATCTCTTCTATTTCGTAACAAACCCAAGTATAACCCACAAATTGGCCAGCTACATAAGAAATGTTTTTGCGCAAATAATCCAAAGCATCCTACGCACTCTGTGGGAACTACGCACTGGTAACCAAGTTACAGTCTTGTTTTCACGAGTGCCGCAGCAAATCACACACACAGACATTCATTTCGCACATGCAAGGGCCAAAATTAGGCGCCCAGAGATACTAAACAACGTAACGCGGGAAACCGCACCAAAATGCACGGGATTTCCCCCTTTTTGCTGCCCCGGTGTCTCACTTTGATTGGATAGCTGGAACACAATGAATTACAAGGTATAAATACTCAGCGCTAATACAGCTTTGCAATTTCGCTGACTGCGAAGAGAACCATTCGAAAACTTACCCTGCTACGTCTTATATTGTTGTGCTTTATAACGCTATGAGTCGACCAGAACCACCCGGTCATTCCCGTTACGAGATTCTGAAAATATGGATTCCTACCCATGGGGTTGTTAATATCTACAGAAGCCCAAGAGGAGGTGAAAACGATTTTTGCAAAGTGTTTGACTAGCGAAGAGATCCATACTAATCTAAGTGCTTTTCTTGTCACAGAGTACCATGCGGATAATGGGTTTATACTCGAGAAGCCTATCAAGCGATATGGCGTGGAGAGACTCAGGGTTTTGGCCTCACAAGGTGGCGTCATAAACATTACTAGAGATGAATCCACTCGTCCACTTCAGAACAAGTACACAATCGAGCCAAGCCTTTCAATGGATCAGTCAGAAGTTTTTGTAGAAGACCCTCCGCGTTAATACAAAGTAAGTACGCACTGTTATCTATAACTTGTGTTTTTTCACGACTGCTAAACACGAGTTCAATTCATAACGTATTTTCTTGGGGCAAAAGTTGTGCGACTATCAAAATTCTAATATCGCCAAAGTATCGACGATGGGTTGATTATTAAGAATAGAAAAGAAAAGAGAGGAAGGATTGTTAAACATAATAGCAAAGTAAAGGTTAGTGTGGGCGTACAATCATGGATGTATCAAAATATCTGCGGTTGAATTTTGTCTGAAAACGCTTTGTTTGCCTTGATTGCAGAATACCTTACAGATCAGCTTGTTGTAGTAAAGAAGAATGCTGAACTTAGCACCTTTGTAACTTTCCAGTTATCACAGCAGAGAAGAATGCTGAACTTTGCACATTTGTATCTTTCCACTTATCACTGTACAATAAAGTTGATGATTTGATTGATTGAAATGTCAGTCTGTTTATTGTGCATACGCGAGCAATATCAGGTAACCGCGCGCAGCTGAAAGTGGGATCAAAAATAGACCATGACGCAGAGTTTTTTACTTGTGCGCAGACGCGCATTTTTTTATCACAACTTGTGCCGTGGCATTTAAAACAAATCCTTCACGAAAAGAAACCATTTCGGTTGAAATCCTGTTGGTGTACGAAAACACGACAAGCAACTGATTCCAACATGAGCGGGAATGGTGACGGTGACGATCCAAAATACGATGAGAGCTGCGAGACAAAAAGGATTGGGCAAAATAACAAGGAAGAAGCGGAATTAGCCATCCCCTATCTGCCGAACCAAGGTAGACTAGATTATCTTTCTCGCGTATAATTCGAAGACTTCGGCCTGAATTTGTTGCTTTCGTATTTGCTCGAATTCCAAGTTCATAATGGCTATTTGGTAGAAACGAAGGAAGGGGTGAGACTCGGCAGTTCGTATCAAAGATTGAAAAGAGTCACTCCAACAGGAAAGCTAATGTTTTGTTCGCCGAAATGATGACGGAGGTGATTTTCCGCATTTCAGTTCTTTAGCATACTCTAGTAAAGATGCCTTATTGCAACCGTTTTTATTTTCCTAGACTTCGTCGTAACCACATCTGGATATCGTGTTTTGAACCAAGTTGATGTTGACCGGCGATGAATTACGGTAAGATGCTTCGTGAGCGTAGTTTACAGCGTCGCAGAAATAAATAACGACAGGGACTTGCCCGAACGAGGAAGACTGTTGATTTACATACTTAGAACATCTTGTGTCGTTCTAAACTCTCCTGATCTAGGTATTTTAGCACCAATAAGGGATATTGGGTGGAATTACTTCTAATAAAAGCGCGTGAATATCGACTAGAAAGCTCTACTTCAAATTTAGGGATCATATACACAGCGAAACCGATCTTTGTTTATTTTTTTTAATTTTCAGCATCAGCAGTTTACAAGAAGATGAATTTATCACAAGCGCCTTTAAAGAAACAACATTTGACATGAAGCTTAGCTAGCGTGTTAAACTGTAATTGCTATTTCGATGTAATTGGAGTTCCATATTGTCTTGGTTAAAAATGAAGTAATAAAGGAAATCTTTTAAGCGCTCAACTTTGTGCGTCGTCGTAGATAACGCGCGCTCCATATAAAATGCAAAACGCCCCTATATTACAGCATGATCAAAGTACGTTTTCTCCTTCCTGTTATCCAACCGAAGCACTTCTTAAAATAGCGCACTAGTCGTGCTGACAGCTTGAGTGTCTCGTATGCAAAGAAGCTACAATGATTATTTTGACTAGACACATTGCCATCACATACGACTAAGTCATTGTTATTTTCGCACAGGCCGCTTTTAACGATGACAGCTCGCTTGGTTCATGGTTAAGTTATGGGCGCAAGTAACAAAAGCGGGAGAAGGACGTGTATAAGAACGTGTTCGAGAATACACGCGCGTCAAACTGAGGCCCTGCGCATGAGCCTTGTCAACTTCCAACTACGCGTTGCATATTGCACCATCACGCAGTCAACACTGAGTAATTTTAAACGAGTGCTGATTCCAAAATGAGTTGGTATCAACATGACGAGCCGGATGTTTCTCCTCATTGCGAAGCAGTAAGGATAGGGAGAGATGGCAAGAGTGCCGAAGTGACAATCTTCTACACACCAGAAGGAGGTTAAGGAAGCTCGTTTCCCGCGTTGATTACGCGATTTCATTTTGAATAGTTCATTGATTGTGTCGATCATATTTCCTTAGAATTCGAAGTTCACAACGGGTACTTAGTAGAGAAGAAATCACGAACAAATTTGGGGAGATCATTTGACCAACTGAAAATAGTTACTTCAAGAGGAAAACAAATACTGGTTCGACGATATGACGACTTAGGAGGTAAATTTCCGTTCCTCATTTCTTGACCATATTCAAGGGAGGATTTGTAGTTTACAACCCGGCTTTCTTACTTTGTAGAATTCGAGATCATGTCGGATGGATACTGGTTGAAGCAAGAGGACGTTGAACTTTGAGAACACGGTAAGTTGCTTCGTTAGCACATTCGTTAGCACCTTCGGCTTGGAATCTCTTTTAACAATCGCGCGCAAATCGGGTTTGAACGATCAAACAGGACCAGAAAACTCGACTTAAAATTTCAGTGTGATTTAAAACCACTGCAAAGCAAGCCAATTCTTCTCTTTGTGTTTTAGGTATCAAGGAGAACTGCACTGAGGGAATTGACCTGTTTATTTAGTTTGCAATGAACGTAAGCATTACACGGAAGGATTGAATTTATCGCAAACGCCCTCAAGGAAGCAGAGAATTAAAACGTAGATCCAAGCTTGTGTTTTGTTATCGCTATCTCAACGTAGTAAGAGTCCAAGACTGCCTTGTGTAGTTAATGTAATAAAGGAAATGATTTTCTTCTAAACTTTGTGTCGTAAATAAAGCGCGCTCTGTCCGAAATGCAAAACAACGCCACAATAATGCAGTGTGATCAAAATACGTTCTCTCCTTACTGTTATTCCGACCGAAGCACTTCTTAAAATAGCGCGTTAGTCATGCTAAAAGCTTAAGTGTCTCGCGTGCCAACAGTTTTGACTAGGCATATTTCCATCACATACGACTTAATCCTTGCTATTTTCGCACAGGCTACTTTTAGCGATGACACTCGCTTAGATTATGTCTAAGTTGTGCGCGCAAGTAATATGCTCAAAATTCAGAGCACAAAATAATACACTGAACGTGCGCGCGTACCCCGCGAGGAGACTCGCGAGAGAATGACACGCAAAATAAACCAAACATTCTGTCGACGAGTTAATACGTAAATTCTTATTTACCAAAGTATTTCACAATTATGGTCGAGATTTCTGGCCATGGAACCACCTGAGCCTGATCATAAATTCGTTGAAATCGTTAAAGTTGGCAGAGATTACCACTGGTCTTCAGATGTAACAATATACTACAAATCGGAAACCAGGAGTGAGTCGACATTTTCTCCCCGGTTACGAGCAGTAGACCGTTGAAATCAACGTAGTTTCGTTTTGTTTCGATCGTTTTAGAGTTTAAAGTTGAAGGCGGATGCAAGCTAAGGAAAATTCCACGGCGGACTATCGACAAGTGTGGATTTCAATGGCTAACGAACGCCACACTTTTAAAGTCACGCGATTTAAAACCGGAGGTAAAATATGTCATTAAAAGTGCGCAATCATTTTTGCAACAACTGTGCTAAAATTGCTTTATGTTTCCTACTGAAAGTCTACTGGGTCGATGAAGGATACTGGATATCTGGACCTAAACTAGTTCATTTTTAAAGCAAGGTAGGGTAATTCAGTTAAATGTCCTAGTTTTATAATTTTATAATTCTTCTTTTGACACGCGAGCATCTTCACGCGGTAGAACTAGTAATAACAAACTTCGAATACCGTCCAAATATGCGGACTCTTATTCCATAACTAAAGCCATTCACAACGTCAGAAAATACCGGAAAATCGGAGTCAGGTGCCTAATCACTGCAGATACTACACGGACAGAAACATTCTTATACGCGACGTGTCCAGTGGAATAATATCACCTAACAACTCAGAAAGGCTATGATTTGAAGAAAACGATTCCGGCGCCGTTTACATCAATTCCTTATTTTCATCACAGGTTGTATGTGGAGAAACAAAGCCCTGTCATAGCAGAAGAAAGTAGTATGAATGTAGAACTATTTTGAAATTACTTTAACTCGAATGGTTGATTGTCCTGGGCAAATTATTTCGTCTAATCAATTTATTACTGGTTTGTGTTGTAGCTAGTGTCGAGCCGCTAAATAAAATGCTTCCAGGTAAGGTTAGAATGTTTTTCATCAACGATATCCGAGGTAGGCCGACGTAAATGATAAAGAAAGATCAGGTGTGATTAAAACTAAATTCTCATTTCCCCTCTGGTCTCATTTGTCATATATTGAAATGTGTTTTGACAGTTGGTGCTGCGCAGCGCAAATATAAAAACATACTCGAGACCACGCGCGCGTCAAAGTGAAGCCATACACATCTGCTATTTCCGTCGCCAATCACGCGTTGCGTATCATTGTATTGCACCATCACTCGCTCAACACCCTGAATAAATTGAGACGAACACTGCTATTCCCGCCGACTAGAGACTCGCTAACAGGCGTGATAAGTCAGTTTTTCACTAATTCGACACTTTTCAAGCTAAAATGAGTTGGTTTCAGACGCGAGATGCAACGAATTCTTTTCGCGAGACGGTTCAAGTCGGAATAGAGGGCAGTTTTTACCACGAAGTGACGATCTACTACTACAATCGAGGGCGAGGAGGTAAATTAAAATTGTTCCTGTCGACTTGTTTTTTTCAGCGCCATTTCGACTTTGCAAAATCGTTAAGTAAATATATCCAATATTCGCTTGTCTTCTTTTGTTAGAGTTTGAAGTCACAGATGGAGGCAGGATTCTGCGGGACCAAAGAGACGGAAGAGATCGAAGACTGAGTGTTCAAACTAAATACGGGAATAAATTTCAAATCACCCGTCTTCATAGAGGAGGTTTGTGTGTTTGTCTGCTAAATTTCTCTCAGTTGAAGTCAAATATGATCACATTTGTACGGCTAAAACAATTCGTTTTTATCTTGCAGGATACTATTTCAACACTTACGGATTCTGGAAAAAGGAACTGGGACGTACATACGACTATTAAACCCCAAGGTAATTGCAATTTGATAATATGAAAAACAAATCATCAACTGTGTCGAACAACATAGAATAAATCTGTCATTTCTGTGCGGACAGCCTAGCAGATACATGCAGCAGTCTTACTGAAACATTGTAACGGCGCCAAACGCTGCTAAATATATTCGAATTTTCAATCATTCAAACAACGAGCTTCTTCTTTTTCTTCCACTTTAGACCTTTCTGACGAGGACAAGAGCCTATTCCTGGGAGTGATGATTTAGTATAAGACCCTCATATAACGATTGTTTTATTGTGAACACAGTTTATAGGTAATAAAGTTTTTTCTCTTACAAAGGAGAGAATTGTGTGGCGTTCTTGTTTATTCTTATGCTGTCACATAATTCCCTCACGTCACAGGGAGCAGCTAAAAATAATCGATTACCAGACACATGAAAATGCGCAACTCAGCATAACGTACGGCGGAAACGCGCGAGTATAATTGAACTGAAGCAGCAGAGCAGACCAACTGAGACCGACAATATCGATGAATAAAAATTGTTACTTCGAAGGCTTAAGTGACAGACGTCAAACGAGACAATGTCAACGGAAAAAAGAGGATTCTGTATGACCCTGGCAACATCGGAAATGATCACAGTATAACCCTACTTAACCGTCATTTGTGTTAGTATTATGTAATGTAAAACAGACATTAAGAAAGCGCGCACAAGTCCTGTACACGTGCCGTTTCAGCAGCCAATCACGCGTTGCGTATTAATGTATACACAATCATGAGCTCAACAGTCTGCGTGAGATTTCTACCGAGTACCGTCATTCCCGCGGACTGCAGTCTCGATAACAGGCGTGAAAATTCAACTTTTCGCTGTAATTCAACCCTTCTAAAACTAATATGACTTCGCCATATCAACCACCGGATCCATTTAACTCATTTTACGAGGCGGTTCAGGTCGGAAGAAATGGTAACGTTAACCACGATGTCACAATCTATTACACCGTCTACAATCGAGGAAGAGGAGGTAAGTGAAAAATGTTTCGTTCGAGCTTTTTGCGCCATCTTGACTTTGCGACTCTTTGAAGTAAATATGTCCAACATTCGCTTGCTTTCAATCTTTTACTAGATTTCAGTGTCACAGACGGAGGAAAGATAATCTGGGAAGAGCCAGACGGAACAAATCGAAAACTTAGAGTTGAGACTAGACAAGGAGTAAGATTTAGTATCACTCGTCGTCGCGGAAAAGGAGGTTTGTGTCTTTGTCTGCTCCATTCTTCTCAGTCGGAAACAAATATGACCAAACTTGTATAACTAAAACAATTCATTTTTCTTAAAGGATACTATTTAAACACTAGTGGATTCTGGATAAACGAATTGGGACGTACATACTCCTAACCCAAAGGTAATTGCAATTTGATCATATGAAACACAAATCATCAACAGTATCGAACAACATAGGATAAATCTATCACTTCTGTGCGGACAGTATAGTACATACATGTAGCAGTCTTACTGAAACATTTTAAGGGCGCGAAACGTCGATAAATGGATTTAAATTTCCATTCATTTACACGACGTGCTTAACAATCTTCTTCTACTTTTTCTTTCATTTTAGATCTCTCTGACGAGGACAAGAGCCTATTACAATTTATGATTTAATAATATAAGACCCTAATATAACGATTTTTATTGTGAAAGCATTTCATAAGTAATAAAGTTTTTTCTGCTACAAAATAGAGAATTGTGTGGCGTGTTTTTTTTTAACCCAATGTTGTCACAAAATCTCTCTTACATCATGGGAAGAAGCTAAAAATAATTGATTACCAAACATATGAAATGCACAAATTAGCATAAGCCTCGGCGCGCATGTTTACAACCACACACGCGCAAGTACAATTGAACTGACACACCGGAGCGTCAAACGAATCGAGGAACTCGACTATAAAAGAGCTTTTCAACATTAGACGGCGGATAAAATGGGTGACGGATACAACCCAGATGAACCAAACGCGCGTAAATTTTGCGAAGTGATCCAGATCGGAATTGAAGATGATACCGCCGAAGTGACCATCTTCTATACTCCAGAAAGAGGTTTGAGTTTAAAAATTTCGTTGTTGCGTCTGCAAAAATTGAGATGAATTTACGTGAAATTTTCGCTAAAACGCTCAAGTATTCTTCATGTACATAGAATTCAAAATCAGCGATGGCTTCAAGGCTGAAGATGAAGAAAGGCATAATTATGGGCGACGATATCGACGATTAAAAATTGTTACTTCGAAGGCTAACGTGATAGAAGTCAAACGATATAGTAACGGAGGTAAGTCTCTGTAAGAGTCAGAGAAATCTTAGTTAACCCTAACCCTAAGTTTAATACACGATCTGTCTTTTCTCCTCCTAAGAATACAACGTAGACGCCAACGGGAAACAATATTATTTTGATGGACGAAAAGTGGAAGTATAAACGTAAGTTAACACGCTTCGCAAGCGCGCTTTGTTACACATTTCAAACTATTGCTATACGAGACTCGAGTATTTCCTTAGCCCCAAAGAATTAAGATTACTTAAGCAACTATTACAAAACGACAAGAAATGAGCGGAATTTAAGAGGAAGTTTGACTAAAATGAGACTAAATATTTACCTATTGCTGCCTCCGTTTTCCAGATCACACTAAAAGCACTGAAATTCCTATAAACTGTCGATTATCAAGAATTAATTTTCTCTTTTGTGATCTTGATTACAGATTCTTCGCGGAGCGCTGCAAAAAATCGGACATCTGTAGATTTATTCACAACAAAATGTTTCAAACTGTAGTGTGAAGTGAATAAAGTTCGTATTTTGATGTGGAAAACTGGGTATGTGTTATTGTTTTGAACAGATTTATTGGCTCAAAACGCCTCCTTCCTATGATCGAATTTCACTCCTTAGCACACTTGTTACTACTTATTTTTATTGTATTCGCGATTAGTATTATGAGAAACAGAACATTGTATATTGTATGGTTGCAAATACTATAGCCTTACCCGAGTCTACCAACTACATCAGAAGCTGGCAAAATGCGCAAAACCCACGCGCGCGTAAGCCGCGAAGGCGGGCTGCTTCGTGACCGACATCACTGATAAAACGCTAGTAGTAAATCTTTGGCTTAATCTATATTAGCGTTGCTTAGCTCGAGTTCGCTTTCTGTAATGCAAAATTTCCCACCAAAATGTACAGCTTACAAACGAACGATTTCGTAGCCAAGGCTATGAAATAGCCAAGATGCACAGAGACAATGGAGACCTTGCAGCTGCAATTTACTTGAAGAAAAACGGAGGTCAAACGTATTCGTGTACTTGCCATCAACAGCAAAGCTTAGAAAAGCGTCAATAACTGCCAAAAGGGAATTACCCTTGCACTTTGTAAAGCGAGATTTGATGCGACGTCAATAAATTGAAAATAAAACACTCAAAAGGCATTAGTCTGTTCAAACTCTGTTCTCTCCCTTCCTCTTGCTCCGCCCACTGAACTTAAATTAAGCTATTCAAGGGTTACGGGCACGCGCGCGCGCGTTTAGAACAGATAAACTAAAGAAAAGATCAGACAATCCAGGACAGAAGAAAATGGGGCTTACGGCTGAGATGAAAAGGACTTTTAGAATAGCAATCGACTTCTAAGAATTCAAATGCAAACAAGGAAAAAAGAAAACAAATGTGGAGCTAAAATATGCGTTCGCGTCAAAGGGTGATATTAACTCTGCGTAAAAACAGAACTTTCGCGCGAGGCAAACCAGTCATAGAAAAACACGCAACTAAAACGCGCGCGATGAAGGGAATTGACCTTCATACAATGTATTAACAGTCAATGCGTCTGCATAACAAAGACTAATTTGAATAAAAGTTTGCTTAGCGAAGCAGTTTTGTCAAATGATATTTATAACGCGCAAACAATTATTCCCTCTAAAACGCTGTGAACCAAATATCTAAACGATCCGAGCAAAAATGTCAGGGACGGAAAAAGAGGAGCCTTACAACGACTTCCAAGAAAAAGTGAAAATTGGCACTGAATGTATACATCGCCATGCCGATGTAATCGTATCTTTCGACTCGCGGACAGGAGGTACGTCTCTCTCGCAGTTTCGCTTTGCTGAAAATTACAAGTTTACTTAGATTTCAACTGCAACCTCTTAGATTTCACAGCCGAGAAGGGAAAAATTGTCAAAATAACTCCGCAGCGGATATCCCGAGACACAACAACTAAGTTAACAGTTGAATCGGATGGACAATCTCGTTACGTTGTCAACCGAAAAACAGGAGGAGGTTTGTATTGATGATCTCTTTAGACTTTGGTCGAGAGACTAGGCATCCACTAACTTGCTGATCGCCAAATATTTCTTAAAAAATGAAGATTTCGCAACCACTGGACGGCCACGCCGAACACAGCGAGAATTAAATAGGAAATTGATGCCATTATGTTGAACTATTCAGTTCGCCTAACGGATGCAAAGCTTTCCACAAATGAATGACTAAATACAGTTTTCAATTGCACATAGAAACACTGAATTTTTACCGCCGCAGTTCTAGTGCTCTACGTAAAGCAGGGTTTAGTCATTTGATACTGTTTATTTGCTGTGAAGGCGAAGAAATCTATCACGATGTTAACGTCCTCAGTAATGGCCTGTTCCTGAATCTCTCAGAAATGTCTATGCTCTCCTCGCTTGTACAGTCGACCGCGTATTTTAAGATTGAGCCAGATTTCCGGCAGCACTCTTAGAAGTTAATTTAGAAATTTAGAAGTTAAGTAAATCATCTCAGTTCCTAATATCATTCTTGCATAATTTTTACCATAGTCTACGAGGCTCAAAGCTGGTTTACTTGGGTAACCTTCAAGAGGACTGAATTAAATTGAGGTAAGACGTTGAAGCATGAGAATAAGACTTCTAATGCTACATGAAGAGATAGCGTGCCAATGGACGCGCATTATCTCTGAAATTGCTATAATGTGTCGATTTTCCATTTATATTTTCTCCTTTCTGATCTAGATTACAGATTGCTTCGGAGCACAGCGACCTAAGAAGTCTAGAGATTGCTTATCACGCATTGTTTGAAACTGTAATGAGAAAGAATTAAAGTTTATCATTCTGTGTTGGAAACGTGTATCAGTGTAATATAAAAGATTAACTCAACTTTGATTACGCTCCACATCAAAGAGATCCTTAGCATAAACCCTTTCGCTTTACTGGTGCAAAATAAAGAGGGACAGAAATCTATAACAAATTTACGAAATAAACGCGCGCGTGACAGGGACCGTTACGTTAACTGTCACAGGTCGTTCGATAGACTAAGCTTTATTCATCTTCTCTCCACAAAACGGCCTAACATGAATCCTACCCACGTCTCCAAACGAACAGCTTTAAGATTTTAAAGTTATGTTTAAAATCTTTGAGATATTCACGACAATTTTAGCTCCATAAAAATTTTGGCTTGATAAAACCAGTGTTCTCGTTCACACTTCAAGCGAGTCCTGGCAAGTTCTGGAAGAAATTTTCATGCGTTGCCTGTGGGATTGTAGCAATTCTAACCACATGAACGACGCCCAATTTAAGAGCCAATTTTCCGTGCACAATTGACTTATTGAATATACATAACTGTACTGAATTCGATGGCGCAGCTTTGTTAGCTGCATGCGATAATTATAATTCGTTGAACTTCTACGCTGTATTGAGTTATGATTTCAACCAACCCTTGTGACTACTGACGTACTCGTGGCATAAATATTGCCGCCCGCAAGAGGAGCTTGGGATACATGACATCACTTACATATGACATCACTTGTACATAAAGTGCCGACTCGTAAAACTATTGTGACACATCTATATCGAAAGTCATCGAGCTCGAACCCGGCAATTTTAAATATAGACTTTTGGCTAAAATGAGTCTGTATCAGACTACTGATTTTAGTAACAGTTGCGAGGTATTGAAACTATACAGAACAGTATATGAGCCTTATCAACATGAGGCGACGATATTCCGAAAGCCAAACGGAGGTGAGGCACTCTGAGCTAGTTTGACGCGTTATTTGTTAAAATATCAAACCCTGTACGATTACCTTTCTTCATCGTTTACTCGCAACAGAGTTTGAAGTTCACGGAGCTTGCTTGGTGAGTGATGAACGAAACCAAGTTTGGAATGGAGGACGAATTCGATACGATAGAAGACTTAAAATCGTAACAACTTCGTACAATGTGGTGGAGTTCGAGCGCCGTGGGACAGGAGGTATTTCGCAAATGCTTTTCTTGTTTGAATTTACTTTTAATTGCAAGAGAGTAAGTGAAATGTTTTTCTCTACTTTTAAGAATACCGAACGATCACCGCTGGATATTTTTTAAGTGACCCAAATTTTGTACCGGTTTGAACGAGGTAAGTCGACTGTAAATTGTGTGTCAAGTTCTTCGATTCTTTACACAACTGGGGAAACAAGATGGTGGATAATATAACTAAATAGCCATAATTTCGGTCTTACCTATACCATTTGCTAACTTGAAAGATTAAAATGATCATTTACGCTTCTCACTGGGTTTTATTCTGCGTTTAACGTAAGCGATATATTAGGTGTTTATACACACAATTGTCGTCGATGTTGCCATGCTTTGTGATCGTTAAAATGTTGCGAGTATGGCCGAGTGGCTAAAACAATCTCGTTTAACTCTCTCGACAGTTCGACGAAGGTGAAGGAAAACTCAAGGCATGTAACCACAAGACCATTAGTGAAGAAAAACGTGCTGTAATAGTGATATTCACCAATAAACGTTCTTTTCACATGTTATGTGTTTATGTCTATTCATTCTACTTTGCGCGCGCAAAAATACTGCTTACCGCTCTGAAAAATAAAACTACAGAAGAAATATAAGTACAATGTTATCGCCGAGATCATACGGAAAAATCGAGAAATCCAAGCATTTCTTTGCGACTGATATACTTTGTTACAGAGATATGATGCAATGTCTAGAGCTAAACATGCTTATCGCGAGGCACAAATTGCTTTCTCTGCCTACCGCCGCCCCCGTCTTCTAACTCGTGTGGAAACTAATTGAATTCACAGTTCGTAAGAGAGACAGGCATAATTACAGATGCGCTTCCAAAGAGCGACCCAAGGGCAAAGATTTGACTTTTGATATGCTAAGGTGGATAAACTTCTTAGCTTTCCTTGTATCTGAAAAAACAAATGTGGAGCTAAAATATTCGTTCCCGTCTAAGGGACTGAAATTAACTGTGAGGAAATACATAAACAAACGCACAGCCAGGAGTCGTACGAGAATGAAACGTGCGCGCGAGAGGGCGCGCGAATCTATAACAAGCACACCCACGACTAACACGCACGCGTGAGTGAGAGAAAATAACATTGCGAGAATTCTATTGATAGTCACTGTGCGTCTGCACAGACAAAGACTCAATTTGAATAAACGTTTGCTTAGCGAAGCAGGTTTGTCGAATAGTATTTCCAGGGGGCAAACAGCTATTCTCTCTCAATTGCGTACAAATACCTAAACAGTCTGAACAAAAATGAATTGCTTTCAATCAGACGAGCCTAACAGCGACTTCTTTGAAGAAGTGGAGGTTGGAAGACGTTTCCATCTATGTCCCAATGTTAAACTTACCTTCAACTCGAGGACTGGAGGTTAGTTTTCACTGGGTTTCGCTTCGTAGAAAATCTCGAGTTTTCTTAGATTTCAATTGAATTTTGTCAGATTTCGACGTGCTATTTGGACGCATTGACCATAGAACTCCCTGGCAGATAAACCGAAGGAGACCAACTATTTTAACTCTCTCAGGCGGTGGACACACTTTTGTTGTCACTCGGCGTCCAGGAGGAGGTTTGTAAGAATGATCATTTAACCCTGTAACACAACGGCTACTCCACCGAGTGCAAAGTGAATTACAAAGTCAATTTATCTTCTCTAAAGCACCTTGCCATTATCTAGATTCACTCAGTTTGTCTATCGATGACAGAACCTTACTCGACCTGGATCAATATGCAAAGATAGCGGTCTCTCTCAAAAAGGAAACGTGAAAGCTCCACCGTTGCATTTCACCTTCATGCATACAGCATAGTTTGGTTATTTTAAGTTGTTGTTTTCGAGAAACGATTAATAAGAGTTCCAAGGTGTATAATTTGAACCGTTTTAGCGACCTGTACGTTTCCGTTACCGTTGTGGTGGGCTTAAGGCTTGGTTGGCAGAATATTGATAAATTACTCCAGTGTCTAAAATCGTTCTTTCTTATTCTTCACTGTAGTCTACGACACCAACACTTTTTGGACTTGGGTAACCGTTGAGAAGTATCCAATAAAATGAGGCAAGAGGTCAAAACAAAGGACTCCGAAAAAGTCGCAACAAGGAATTGTCTGCGAATGGTCTCACAAACACTCTGGAAGTGCAACAATTCGTCAATTTTCCAGTTGTAATTTTCCTCTTTCTAATCTTCTTACAGAATGCTTTGAAGTGCACTGATGTAGGAAGTCTGCAGATTAATTACAACGCAACCTTATCCATAGCACTTTAGCAAGAAAGAAATAAAGGTCATGTTTTGTGCCTCGAAAATTGTACCTATGTAATATTTCAAATAGAATTACTGGCTTACGATTATAATCTCGAAGATTTTAGAACTTGATGACGTCACGTGAAAACGATCTTAGGACGATGTGTTCAAGATTGGTTTTCTCTTTTCCTCCTGCTCCGCCCACTGAGCTAAAAGATAAAACTCACAGCCTCTGCTTACCAAAGACCTAATTTGAATAAACTTTTGTTTAGCGAAGCAGATTTCCAGAATAACATTGCTCACGCGAAAACAACCATTCGCTATAAAGACGGAAACATCTATCTAAACGATCTCGCGAAACATGGCAGGTTTTGAATCATACGATCCCAGAAACGATTTCTTTGAAGAAGTCCATCTAGGAAGGCGATTCCCTCTGTGCTGTTCCAACGTCATATTAAAGTACGACTCAGCCACTGGAGGTGGGTATTTATATCACAATTTCGCTTTGCAGAAAGTTTCAAATGTATTTATTAAATTTGAGTTGAATTCTGCTAGGTTTCACGGCCCAGTCAGGACGAATTATCCAAAAAACGCCACAACGAACACAAAAGAACACACCAACTACATTAACGGTGAAAGCTAAGGGAGGATGCGAATTCCACGTAACGCGAAACCCTAGAGGAGGTTTGTGTGGATGGTTACGTTACATCATATCAACTTTCCTTTCTGTTCGCACACGGCCACGCATTCTTGTTTAAAGAGAGTTACGACAGTGACAGCGAGTACCGCGTAAATTAAAAAAGGAGTTGATATTTTAACAAACAATTGCCGCATCATTTAAAGTTATTCAGTTTGCCTGTCGCGTGCAGAGCTTTCTTTCAAATGAATATCGAATTACAGCGTTTCATTTTAATCGAAAAATTGAATCTTCACTATTATGGTTACCGTTCTCGTCGGCGTAACATAGAAGTTGATCACTTCAAGTTGTTTTTCAGAGACGGCAAAGAGATGTACCAAGATAAATAACGCACGAGTACAGACACTGCTCGTTTCACTGAACCTTTTAAGCGACTTTCTTGTTGCCGTTAGCTCTGTGGTTCGCTTACACTCCCCCAAGGCAATGTCTTCTAGTCGACAATTTTCTCAATTCTCTTTGCCAGCTTGTTTGGCAGAGTGTTTGTATCGTATCGAGAAGGGAAACGTTTAGTACCCTTGAAAACTCTGGAGTGAATCAAATCACATCAATGTCCTTCTTATTCTTCACCACAGAATACCGGGTCGACAATTGTTGCACTTGGATAACGGTTGAGAAAATGTACAAGACTAAGTATTAAGGTAAGGAAGCGAAACAACTCACTCATCAAAATTTTACTTTAAGAAATTTACGAGAATGTCTGTGACGAGATGCATGTTTATCTCTAAGACGGCTGGGATTTGCCGATTTATCGGTTATAATTTTTTCCTTTGTGATTTTGATTGCAGCATGTCAAAGAAAGCTTGGACGTCTATAGAATGCTCATAGCATGCTGCAGTGTTACGTCAATAAAGATCACATTTTCTGTGCAGAAACGACTNTTCCTTTGTGATTTTGATTGCAGCATGTCAAAGAAAGCTTGGACGTCTATAGAATGCTCATAGCATGCTGCAGTGTTACGTCAATAAAGATCACATTTTCTGTGCAGAAACGACTATGTAATTTTTTTAAGGCGATTTATAGGCTGAAAATGCGTCCTTCCCAAGACCGAGTTTTACTTGCTACTAGACTTGGAATATACAGTCTGCTTTGCGTAAAATTGCCCTTGTAAATGCTCGAGCAAGTTTCGCGCGCGCATATAGAAGCGCTCGGGTCAAAGTACGGTGGAACATTTGACAGGCGAGCCATCAAGCTTTCATGAGATCAAGTCTGAACTAGTAGCTCTTACGCGCAAACTTTTGAGACCACTGCAACAGCAAATGATTTGTTTTGCGCGAACTACAACACATATTCCGGCAACAGCGACCAAAAAATGGGCAACGAATCAGCGAGGACTCGAGAAAATTCGCTATTTTTCAAAACATGACGAAGTTGCGAACATAAATGTTCATCTCCATGTCCAGTGATCAAAATAACACTGCTTTAAATCTTCAATCCCTCCATCTTGCTTTGTACGGAAACTAATTGTAATCACAGTTGGAGGGAGATCACATAATTAAAGCTGCGCATCTGCCAAGCAGCCCTAGGGCAAATATTTTGATATAGCTCGCCTTAACTAGATGAACATGACAATCACCTTTACAATTTCTGCGTTACTAAGATTCTTAGGTTTCTTTGTACGCGTTCTTAAGTGACGCGAATAAAAAATAGCCGTATACATGTAACAGGAAAAGGCGCTAGACGAAAAAGACGCCCTACCCGCGCGAAATTGTTGCGGTCATTAGTCGACGTTGGTAACCACCCAATATCAACGAAAATCTACTTACAAAAGTTACTTCTGGCCGCTTTTGTCTGCACAAACACGTCATTGGCGCCGATAAACTTAACAGGTGGGCACGCTTGGAATCCACGTCATATGCAACTTAGAAATACCACTTATCCATACTGCGCGAGACGTTTCATACTTCGCAGGCTCGCCGCTACACTGGTCTTCAAAGACTGAACATGGACGAGCCAAAAAACAATTTTGTTGAAGTGATTAAAATTTGGGAGCACCATCTTAGTGTCCATACTGTGGCAGTCATAATATATGACTCAATTGGAGGTAATGTTGTTGAACTCCTCTTTTTCGTGCACCTTTCCAAAATTTTTCCAACAGATAACATTTACTTGTACTTGTTACAGCAATTGAAGTCCAGTTAGGACGAAAGATTTCGGGAAATAGGGATCACTTCGAGTTCGTAAAATCTGAGGCAGCAATCGTTGAAATTCAGCGAAAGCGTGAAACAGGTTAAGACTTCTTAGTTGATTCACCAAATGATCAATTTTAGCATTAAGTTAGCAAGGCTATGCTACAAGAAACA